GGAGGCAAGCTCTCTCCTGCCTGGTAGAAAGACGCGAATCTGACCCACCAGGGCTCCACCATTGCTGCCTCAACTAATGCTAATGTCCTCCCAGAAGCCCCACCCCCTGATACTCACACTGAGCGGGATGTAGTTTCAACACATGAACTGTGGAGGACACAAATATTCAATCCCTAACAACAGGGCCCCACCCTCACAACCTCGTCTAAGCCTAATTATCTCCCAAAGGCTCCACCCCCAAATACCATGATATCGCGGGGTAGCTTCACTACACAAATCCGGGCGGGACACAAACATGTAGTTCAGAGCACATACAGAAAATTTGAAAGAGTGGCACAAAGACCATCCATCTCCCCACCATCATGATTTAATAATTGACATTTTGCCATTTTTACTTTATCTACATGTGTATTTTTTTTTTGCTAATGTTTGAAAATAAGTTTTATCAATCTTATCTCACCCCTAAGTATAGTGCCATTATCATGCCAAAGAAAATTCAGTCATTTTCATCTACTACCTGGTTTAATATCATCTAATTCTACTATTATCTAATATCCAGGCTGGAGCCTATTGACTTTCAGACTAGAACTTAATCACTGGCTCTTCTGAGTCTTCAGCTCACCAGCTGCAGATACTGAGACTTCTCAGCCTCCATAATTGCATGAGTCAGTTCTTTACAATAAACCTTTATATGCATATAGATATAGATATAAACATCTGTCTAGCCATCCCCTATTGGTGCTGTTTTTCTGGAGAACTCATTTCCATGCCTTAGATCATTAGGGCTCATTTGTCTCCCAGAACCCTGGTTGAGAAATTAAGGTGAATAGATTAAGGTTATTCATTTGGGGCAAGAATATTTCACATCATATGACATCAGGAACCCTCTAATGTATTGGAGGCCTCCTATTAATAAAATTAAACTTGGTCACTTGATCACTGATTTCTGTTTTTATAAAGTTATTTTTTCCCCTTGTCACAAGTGATTCTGTGGGGTGATATTTTGGCACCATGCAAATATTCTGTTTCTCAACTCATTTGCACCTAATGCTTTTGGTATTGACAATCCCTGCCTGAATCAATTATGTCACTGGTTGCCTTCCCAACAATTTAAACTTAGGAAAGGTTTGCCCCTCAAAAGGCCACAGCTTAATATCCAGTAATTACCATGAGTGGTAGGATGAAGCTAAATCCCTCACCCTTAGAAGCCTTTCCTTTTCCTAGGAATCCTCTAATTTAACTCCTTAGTCTGTGGAGACCAGGCCTGGCTGGTTGGTTCCCTGGTGCCTGGAAATTAAACACCAGGAAAACATTTTGTCATCTTTGGTTGTGGTGCCTGAAAACAAAAATCAGAACCATTTGCAAAGGCGGGTGGAGAGGAGGAGAAGTACCACAGCGAAATAAAACAAACTTAATACACGTATGTGAGATTCAGAGCAGGACATGCTGAGGTACCCGATGCTGACTGAAGGTCCCAGCAGCAACGAGGGACTCGGGGAAGGTAAGCTGGTGAAGCTGCTGTCAAAGAACTAGCAGGACAGTGAGCATCTGCCTTGATTCTAGAGAAATTTTTTGAGGTGGGGCTCTTTGTTTTCCTAGTGAATGCTTGTTGGAGGAGAGGGGGGTTGGGGACCAAGAGATGTACAGCAGGTGAGGTCTACTGAAAGGGAGAGGAAGACCAAATGATGCCAGAGGGTGCAGGATCCAGGCGGGGACAGGCTGAGCTCACACCACACTCCATCCAGGCAGAGAGGAGCATTAAGGTCAGAAGCCAAGGGAAGTCAACAATTCCTGCACCAGGTAGGAGCGACATGGCAAGAATAGGAGAGAACCTGTGGAGGCGACCACAGAGCCAAGCACTGCATAATGGGGGCAAGCAAGCTGGGTGTTCTTGAGGGAATTCTGCGACTGCAGGGTATCCAGAAAAGCACCACTTCTGTGTATAAGCCAGGAGGAGTGGGCTGTCACAGGGGCTCCCAGCGGGCCAGGAACCCCAGCACTCCCGTGCCGCCTCTCCCCCACTGCGCACACCAACACTTGCTGCAGGAACCCAGGGAAGCATATTCATGATGCTTGTGAGAACTCAGGGCAGCAGGTCCACTGGGCTCTCCCAGAACTCCCTTTTCCTCCCGCCCCTTTGTGGTCCACGTTCCCGGCCCCTCCCAGCAAGCGCTGGAGGAGCTTCCTGCAGTGTTTCCCCATTACCTTAGCATTTCAACGCCTGGAAGAGATTAGTGTCATTGGCAAACCTGGAGAGCTCATTGTGCACTTCCTCTCCAACGTGATTTGTAAAAAAAAAAATGTTGAAAGAGACCAGTTTCAGCACTTTTCCCTAGCATTTTCCATGTATAATCTATAGAGCAGTGTCCATTTATCACTACCCTGGGGCTTCCTGTTTTGAACCTGACCTGTTCTTGGCAGACTGTCCACCCTGGTTTCATCACATTGAAAGACCTGGGCAGACTTAACCCTTTCTTAGCCTCCTTCTCTTCTGTTTCCTGCCCTGCTTCTTCTGAGCTTCAGGCACATGGGCAGGACTCAGACTTCTGGGGACCTGCAGGCAGGAGAGCAGCTAAACTACTGTCTAGTTTTCACCCACCTTGCTCTCTGCATTTTGCTTGCCCCTTTCTTTCTAGGTAACATTTCATGAAAGTTGGGAAACCACCCCCTTCATTTTTGGGGTGTGGAGGAAATGCAGTCCATCTGGACAAAACTTCCCCTGGTGTTCTCAGACAGAGCCATCCTTAGCATGGGGAGTGGCTTACAAAGAACCAGCAGATCAAGTTCAAAAGCAAATACCTGGCTTGGCCTGGGCTGTTCAGGAAAACAATGGAGAAAATGGCCATGAAATGGGGAAGTGATTAATGGAGCTCTATCTATGACAGTCTCTAGAAAACTAGTCAGGGTGTTCTAACTTCATTTTTTTTTTTTGCATTAATTAGAGATTATATCCTGACCACCTGTCTCAACTGAGGGGGACTGCCCCTGGGCAAGTTCACCCTGGATTCAGTGAGACCAAACAACAACAAGAGAACCTAAGGGGAAAAGGATTTATACCAAGCTTTATTCTTTCGGTGGCAGGTCTAGTGCTGGCATCACATCCGCCTCTGGGGCATTCGCAATCCGTCTGTCTCTGTCTCCAGGCAGAGCACTGGGCAGAGCTCTTGGCATAGTAACACTGACAATAAAGGCTCATTGCCAATGGGCCTACCAGTAGGCCAATTACATCATCAAGTAGTGTAGGGTCAGGTGAGGATCCTGGCCATAGGAATTTGAATTTTCCCTACACCACCTAAGGATACTTGTCTCAAAACCCACTAGTGACTAAGGAGCTTCAGGTAATGGGCATGACTCTCTGGTTACCAACACAGCTATGCCTCACTTTAAGGAGGCTCGGTAGCTGAGTCCAAATGACAAATGTCAGCACAAATGTTGTATGTCTACCCAGTGCCTGCCCCAGCTTCTCCTAGACACAGCCCCCAGCCCCTAGCCCCCAGCCCCCAACTAAGGGTGTGCACATGACCAGACTGTCCAGTCATGTGTGCCACATTCCCAACCCTGGTGCCCCACAGCCAAGAGGGACCTCATGCAATTAAGTGGTTGCAATGACAGCGTAGATGTGGTATTGCCTACTGCAGTGTTCATGTTCACCTTACTCCTTAGAAACAGAAGCCCAATTTTTAAAAATTGTGGTAAAACTCAAATGCAAAATACACACATTTAAAGAATACAATTCAGTATTTGGCACATTCATGAGGTTAAACAACCATCACCACTATCTAGTTCCAGAACGTTTTTATCACCCATAGGATTTATTTTATTCAGAGTGGTAATGCTGCCAGCTCTAAGGCTTCATTTCTCAACTTCCCTTGAAGCCAGGTGTGGCCTTGTGACTAGGTTTTAACCAAAGGAATGTAAGCAGAAGTGTGAGGAACTCCTAGGAAAGCTCCTTAAAAGGAAGTGGCGTTTGTCCTCTGCTGATTCTTCTGCTGACCTTAAACATCAGCTGTGCGTCTAGAGGTCTGACGGAGGAGCTGGCTTAGCTGGGGTTCTCATCCTTGCTGAGGGTCGTACAGGTCTCCTGAAGGAGGAGCTCCCACTGCACAAGCTGCTAAGTAAAGTGAGTCGCAGGCCTAGCCCGCATCCATGCAGGGGTGTGGGAGAAGCATGTATGGCTCTTTGGAGGCCCACCAAGGTAACAGGCTGCCAGCTCTGCCCATGGTCCTGACTAGGGATCCATCTGATATATTCCTATTCGACTCCTTCTCTGACATACCCTATTTTCTGTCTCCAAGCTTCCTGAACTTGACTGATGGAGCTGGCCTCCCATGGCTGATGAGCCCATCCCTTGGATGTGCAAGTCCACCCTCTGCTACACATGGCATGCTGGGTGATCAACTTACTCAATGCTCACTCCGTGCCAGGTTTTGATCTAAGTATTTGACGTGGATCAGCTCATATAATCCTCATAGCAACCCTGGGAGGTTAGAATCATCTCCTTTTTAGAGATGAAGAAACTGAGGCACAGAGTGCATTTGTTTCACTGTATCACATTTTGTCCTAAAACAGAACATAGGACAAAATGCCATACAGGGAACTAAGTGCAAATCCTCCTTCAAGTCCTATCCTACCCTCACCACTACTATAGGTCCACAACATAGACTGGGTGGCTTAAAATCAGAAAATTTAACCAGTGCTCAGTGGTTATTTCTAAACTTTTGCTATCATAAACAATGCTGCAACAAATATCTTTGTGTACGTGTATATAATTTTGTGCGTATATATATGTGTATGTGTGTGTATATATATATATAATTTTGCCTGTATGTTTATCTGTTAGATGAATTTTTAGAGGTGGGATGTCTGAGTTAAAAGACATATGTGTTTGTAATTTTGATAGGTATTGCTCTCCATAGAGACTGAACCAAATTGCCCTCTCATCAGTAATGCTTGAGACCAGCTGTTTTGACATAGCTTCATCAACACACCAACAAAAATCATAAAACTTTGCCAAATTTATAGGCAACAAAAGTGTACTATGAGTTAGACTGAGCATCTTGTTACATTTAGGGCTTTAAGGTTTATGACCCCAGTCTGGGGTGGGCTGCAGCCACCGGCCAGGCCTTGAGCACCAGTGCTCCATCCCTATGTCCAGAGTCACAGAGTCACATCCAAAGGTGCCATGTCGGGTGCTTCTTTCCAAATGGCAGGGCTCCCCCAGGTGACATGCCAAAACAAGAATGTTCCTTTCTTCCTTTCTAGTTTTAATATTTTTCTGGTGTTAAAATAATTTATGATCCAAACAAAAGGGAGTCTGAAAGAAAATGTAAATGACCATTATTGCCTGACCCAGAAATAAATGGGTAACATTTTTGGGTATTTACTTTCAGTTTATTTTTCTGGTTGTATTTGCTTTTTTTCTTGAAAACTGTATTTAGTTTTAATTTCACTGAAAATACAGGCCTATATGCTCCTAAAAAGATACTATAATTCAGCTTTAAAAAGGGAGGAAATTCTGACTCAGGCCACAACATGGATGAACCCTTGAAGATGTGATGCTAAGTTAAATAAGCCAGTCACAGACAAACACTGTATATATAATTCACCTATATGAGGTGCCTACAGTGGTCAGATTCACAGATAGAAAGTAGAGTGATGGTTGCCAGGGGCTATGGGGAGGGGGGAATGGGGGAACTGTTGTTTTAAGGATATTAGGGTTTCAGATTTGCATGAAAAGATTACTGGAGATCGGTTGTTACAACAATGTGAATTATGGAATACTATGAACTGTACACTTAAAAATGGTTAAGATAGTAAATTTATGTTATGTGTATTTTACCACAATTATACAAATATTTTTAATTTAAAAAATAGATTTGCATTTTCCCTCCTTCCCAAAAAGGTAGTACAGGTACAGTAAAGTCTCCACTTGATTACTGTTATTAGTTAGGTATGTATGCCTCCAGAACTTTTCCTATGCATAGACATACTTAGATGAACATAAAAAAAAATACGCTGTTTCGCCTGGAGACAAAGAGGATTGGGGTCACAGGACTTCCCCACACAGCCCAACGTTTTATATATATTGAATATGTGAAAGTTCCCAAACCACCTACCTTTATTTTGGCATGTGATCAGAGACTTGACACTTCTGAATATGGGGACTGGACTGGGAATGACTGATTCCAAAAGAGAGTTTTTGGTTCCCAATTCCAATTCAAGATGGTGATGGAGGAAGATCCTCAACTCACCTCCTCCTATAGATATAACAAATCTATAGCTATATATGAGATAATTAACTCTGAAAAGAACCTGAGTACTAGCTGAAGAGCTACTCCACAACAAAGGATAAAAGAGCCGTACTGAGATGGGTAGGAGAGGCAGAAACTCAGTCTCGCCAAAAACCTGAACCATGGTGCAGTGGCCAACCATCAGTAGGGTCCTCACAAATACAGAACTGCTCCCTGAGGAGCAAGGGGTTTGTGCCCCACATCGGATACCTCAACCCTTGGGACTTGCACTAGAAGGATGAGCTCCCAGAATATCCAGCTTTGAAAACCAATGGGGCTTACATCCAGGAGAACCATATCGTCTAGGGAGATATTGCTCTTAAAGGGCTCATGTGCAAACTCACTCACCCTGGGATCCAACACAAAAGCAGCAGTTTGAATGAGCCTAGACCATATTTGAAGGAGATATGTTTGCAAATCTTAAAGCTTCTTCCAGAGGAATAAAAGACTGTTGGGACTCTCTCCAGGGATGAATACACTGGTGGGTGACATTTTTACATTTTCTACCCTGTTAGTGCTAGTGTTGGCAGGCACCATTTTTGCATTCTCACTCTAAACTAGTAGTGCCTGCCCTAGTACCATAGACACAGTCCCACCAGAGTTGGAAGATAAGTATCCCACTCCCTCTGTGGACCTCCAAAGCCAGTAGGTGTGTGCAGCCCACACAGAGGATGCCTCTTGACTGATGGGCTTTGGTGGCCAGGGGGAATTGCGTTTCTGGGTCCCATGAGTCTGAAACAATAGGAGAGACAGTTTGAGAGTTGACCAAAAACTTAGGGCAAGGTTTATTGCCATCCCTTCAAGACTGGAAGAGAGGGCTGTTTTGCCTAACACAGAGAAACAAACACAGAGTCAAGAAATTGAGGAAACAGAGGAATATGTTCCAAATAAAAGAACAAGGTAAAACCCCAGAAAAAAGACTTAATGGAGACTTATAAGTAATTTACCTGATAAAAGTAATTCACCTGATAAAGAGTTCAAAGTAATGCTCATAAAGATGCTCAGAATGCAAAAGAAGAATGACTGAACAGAGAACTGACAAAGAGATAGAAAATATAAGAAAGTATTAAACAGAAGTCACAAAGCTGAAGAATAACTGAACTGAAAAATACACTAAGGGGTTCAGGAGCAGACTAGATGAACCAGAAGAAAGAATCAATGCTCTGGAAGATAGCTTAAGGGATCTATGAGACAACATCAAGTAGAATAATATTCACATGATAGGGGTCCCAGAAGAAAAGAGAGAGAAAGGGGCAAAAAACTTATTTGAAGAAATAATGGCTGAAAACTTCCCTCACCTGGGGAAGGAAACAGACATCCAGATCCAGGAAGCCCACAGAGTTCCAAACAAGATGAAACCAAAAAGACCCACACCAAGGTACACTGTAATTAAAATGTCAAAAGTTAAAGAGAGAATCTTAAAAGCAGCAAGAGAAAAACAACTTGTTACATAAAAGGGAACCCCCATAAAATGATCAGCAGATTTTTCAGCAGAAACTTTCCAGGCCAGAAGGGAGTGGCATAATA